TCGGATTAAATAGAAGACTTGTTGGTATTTTTTTTTTTAAATTTTTTTTTTTTGTTTTTTTTGTGTTTTTTGTTTTTTTAAAATTTTTTTTTTTTTTTTTTTTTTAGGTGGAAATAGAAGAGTGCTGTCAAATATTTGGTCGAAAAGTTGATACCGTAATACCAAAAGCTGCTGCATTGAATGTTGAATTGAATGACGCAACACGTGATAGTCTAAGGTGCATCCGAGACTCATTACAAGAGGTACGTACCTTTCAAATTCGGACTTTTAATCGGAGGTTATGTTAATCAGATCTTTACCTTTTTAGGAAATTGTCCTCAATCGAACAAATATTAAAAAATGGTTGGCTGATCTTAAAACTTTTGTAGTAGAATTAGATGATGATTATAAAGTTCCATCAGAAGAAGTACTTAAAGATTTTATTTTCAAATAAAAATATGTGATTATAAAATAATTTAATCAACTAAATAATTTATTTATATAGATTTTTGAAAATGATTTAGGCACTTCCGTAGTTCAACCGGTTTGTATATATAATTATTATCTATTAAATATTATTGTTATTTTTATTAGAATTGGTCTCACAATCAATCATTTATGAATATATATTTATATTTATAATAATAGTTAAGATGTAAATATGATGAATTATTCCATGCTGTGGTATGTTTCATTTATAATTCAGGTTTCATTTAAGCTTTCGCGACTAATCACATTCATTCATTCATATTAGACCGGTAGACGTGATGCGTTCGAAGAGTCTGCAATCAAACTGCATTATTATTGGGATGCGCTTAACCATGCTCCCCAAGATGAAACAGATAAAGCATTATGCGAATTATTTAATGATAAAAAAAATCCAAAGGATATTTATGAAGCACTACTAGCTTCTCTTGAAAATAAGAACATTACTAGTGATTTTGATCAATGTCAACAAGAAATTGTTGACTTACCACGCGAATATGTATATTATACCCCTCAACTTCCATCTGGATTAAAATTATCTCCAGAATGTTTAACCATTCTTAAAGAAAAATTACTTATTCTTGAAAAAGATTTTGAGACTCGTAAAAAGAAAATGACTACTATGCAAAAAGATATAAAATGCCTATATAAGGAATTGAGTGTTCCTTCAGAAGAAAGAATCGAATTGACTGATTCTCTTGATGAAAAATATTTGGAACAGGTTAGTTTTCTCTTTATAATGTCAATAATGATTCGTATTAATTATTTTTACATTTGTTAATAATAATTATTTATACATATTTATTTCTTTAGTTATCTTTGGAACATGAACGTCTAAAAGAAATGATGCGTGTTATCATTCAGAAAGCTATCGAAGAAGTATTTAATAATAATATTATTATTAATTAATGTTTAAGTTTATATTATTTTTACCTTTTATCTTATTTATACGTCCATTCATGTATTTTCGTTATTTAGTATACTGCTCAATTAGTTGAATTATGGGACAAATGTCTCGTTCCTCAATTTGAACGGGATGAATTCTTTGACAATGTACACAAACGTGAGTTTACTAGTTTACTTTTAATAGTTGTGCAGATGATTCTGATTATCGATTCTTAACTTTCTTCTATATTATTTATTGACAGTCAATTCTTCGGAAGATGTTTACGAATTGCTTTCTCATGAAGTTGCACGCTTACAAGAACTTTATGCTAAATGTGCAAAGATTTACAGGCTGATGTTAGAAAGACGTGCATTGATCGAGGTATATCTTGTTATTACATTATAAGCATTTTATTTATTTATTTATTAACCGACTAAATCTCTCATAGAAAATGACAGAGTTTGAGAAAAAAGCATCAGACCCACGTCGTCTCTTCCAAAGCTCTTTCCGTTTATTGGAAGAAGAAAAGTGGCGAAAGTCATGCTGGCCCACTTTGGTCAAGATTGAAGATCAATTAATTAATGCGTGTATCACTTATGAAGAGAGTAAGCAAATATAAAATTTTAACATATTAAATCTTATTTAATTATAAAATTATTTATTTTTATTTTATTTTTTTATAGCTGAAAGAAAACCATTTATGCATGAAAGTATGCGATACTTGACCACTCTGGTATGTTATGTTAATTTATTAGTATTATAAATGTATAACGTTTAATATTTATATTAAACTTAAAAATTTTTTCAATCAACTACAATAGCAATCTGAAATCTCTGAACGTATTGTCAATCAAATGTTCTTTGGTTTCAACAAGGATACTGTAAAAGGTCAAGGTCACGATCAAAATCAGCCAAATATTATTAAACGCAAGGATAGTCAACTCATCAATAAAGCTTCACCTAGCCGACCAGTATCACCAACTGCTTCTGTAAATGGCTCCCGAAGAAATTCCCGAATAATCAGTCGACCAGCATCACCAACTAATTCTGTAAATGGCTCTCGAAGAAATTCCCGAATAATCAGTCGACCAGCATCGCCAACTAATTCTATAAATGGCTCGCGAAGAAATTCCCGAATAATCAGTCGACCAGCATCTCCAACTTCTTCTATAAATGGCTCGCGAAGAAATTCGCGGATACTTAGTAGGCCTGCTTCGCCTACAAGGTCTAATGCCCCATCACGTTCTGGATCACCCGTGAGAACAAAACGTAGTAGTTTGTACCTGCCTAATTCAGGTGTTCCATCACGTGCTGCATCACCCGTGAGATCAAAACGAAATAGTTTATATTCTGCAAATTCAAGTGCCTTATCACAAGCTGCATCACCTGTAATATCAAAACGTAGTAGCTTATACGTGACTAATTCAGGTGTATCATCGCGTGATCAAGTATGGCGCAAACCAATAAAAAATTAAATATAATACATGTACAAATTTCTTGTAATAAAAAATTTTTTAATAAAGAGAAAATAAGTTTAATTTATAAAAGATCCAAAGAATTTTTTATTTTTGATTGTAAATGAACAAGATAAATTGAACAATGTAACGTTCTCTGCAAAAATTCGAAGAAACCCTGATACTGAAATTCAACAAAAAGAACACGTCAAAAGAACGCATTACAAAATTATTGCCGTTTAAAAATACATTGAGAATTTCGTGACGAATCACGAAAAGTTAAAAACAATAGTTATATTAGTAGATTCGTCATAATCAAAATGTAATAGCTTAACTCATTGAATAATAAAATTGAAGATCCCCAAAATTATGGTCGGAATACATCGGCTGGGCCAGAATTGTCGAATTTCCTAAGATCATCCGACCCAAAATTTTGAGGATGCCCTGGAAAGATGTCAATGATCAAAAACATTTTAAAATGTTCCTGAATATTCATGACGGTAGAGGCTAACACATTTTTAATTTCCCACAGGGCAATTAAAATTTTTTTGCCCCTTGCCGAGCAAATCTTGCTTTACTTGTTGCTGTACAAACTACTCCTGACATCATATGTTGACAATGGAAAATCACGATTAGATATTCCTTCATGTCAAAAGAAATGGTCAATGATATAACAAAAACGTTTCACAATCAAGAACAAGGTCATATCCTCCTTCGTCTTTAACCAGAAGAATAAATGGAATGACAGGAATGGTTAAGGCATAAGGGTATTTTTTCAGAATATGTTGCTATACCGAAATCCAAGGATGTTTGTATAGCGGATAATGAACATTAAACTACAGTATGTATATGTTGACTTGTCTTTTCCATATTACATATCGATATAGTTCTTACAAGTAATATAAGGTAAATTATATACAAGTTATATTGTAAACTTTCGGATTTATTATTATTGGTTATTTTTGGTAATCTTTAAATCAATGATCAATCTTTAACATTACTTACATTATATGAAATTACGGCTAACATAACTCATTTACTCATGATAATGCACATGAACTTTTAGTAAAATTAGCCACAAAGACTATAATTTTACATAATAAGACCATTTAAAGAATAGTTTTATCAAATGTTAAGACGTATTTTGAACAATGAAATATAAATCACAGCCAATTCCTATATTAATACAATTGATTAAAGTAATTAATCAAAATTAGATTAGTTAATCTGAATAAAAGTTCTTTTTATTAATTAATTAAGAAAGTATATTAAGGATCTAAAAATGGAAAATTATCGCCGATTATATTTTTGCATGAATAATGGCTGAACAGATCGTGATTACTAATAATCAACTGACCTTTGCATTCCTTGTAGTTTCATAACGAAAACCATAGGAAGAGATCCTATATTGCGTTAGATTTATCTTTTTCGCTTAATACTCTATATTTTTCTTTTATTATGTTGTATATCGATATAAATCTTGTTTTTTAATTCAAAAAAATAAAAATTATGTCCGATTATATAATGTGATTAACCTTAATTCATCCCCCCCGAAACTATATTCGATGCATAAAAAGTTGTAAATCTTATCTTACCTATTAAATTCTATTTGCATATTTAATTTTCTGATATCTACTGTATTAATTTTAATATCATAATATTTTTAATAATTTTTAAATACTAAAGAAAAAAACTAGGTGATGATTAAATATTTGATTTTAATATATTTTTTTTAAATTAATAATATTTTTAATAATATTCTAAAAAAACATTAACGCGATGATGTAATGTTATTAACTATCAATTTGATTTTACTATCTCTATTATCAGAAAATCGATTATATTATCACGTGACCAACGAAATGTCTCAACTTTATGAATAAAATATTTACTAAAAAATTTGTAGAGCTTATTATGAATAACAAAGTTATCTGATTAGACTTTTATAATTTTTTCACGATTTGCATGATACGTTTTAAAAACTAAAAGTTTTTTAAAAAATAATTAGTAAATTTATAAAGTCTGTTTTATAAAGTTATTACAATATATAATATTTGGATTCGTATCATTTCACCGACAATCATTTCATCGACAGCTTATTTAGCCGACATCACGCCAAGTGACAATTTACTAAAAATATATACAAGAAACTAATAAAAACCTAAACCTAACCCATGTGATGTCGGCTAAATGAACTTTCGGTGAAATGACTGTCGGTGAAGTGAGCGGCACCGTAATATTTAAAAGACTAAATAATTTTAAAAGCTAATAACTTGTAATATAGAAAATAATACAAAAAAAAAAAAAAACTACTAAATTATAGCTATAATAATATATTTTATTTCAATAACTTTTTTTAGCAATTATATTATTATTTAAAAATAAATTAATAGAAATATATTGTTACAAGTACATAGTTTTTTTAATATAACACAAGTAATATAAGATATAGAAAAGAAATTTCTAATAGTATCTAAATAGAATATTATTTTACTATAGTAGTTCATTTCAAAGTTTATATTAAAGAAAAATTATATTTTATTTATAATATAATATCAATAATATAAAATTATTTATTAGTTTTTATATTAAAAGAATTCTAATATTAAGAAGATTGTGAGGTTTAATAATTTTAATATAGTAGTTAGATTGTTAAACTATTATATAATAGATTTAGAGTTTAAATTCTAATGTTAATAAATTTGAATAATTTTTCAAACTTTATAATATATTAGTAAATTCTGTTTGTTTTTGAGATATACTTTTGTAAATTAAGTTATATCAAAATAATTTAAAATTAAAAATGTAATATAATATTATATAAAAAAATCTTAATAGAATATAGAAGTAGAAAATCTGTATAATAGAAACCTTAAGTTAGTAAAATAGTATAGTCTTCTTATAGAACTATATTAGTTAAAATCTAATCTGAGAAAAAAACTTAGTTTAATAAAAATAAAAATTTTAAAATTATTAGATAAAAAAATAAGATAACTAACTAGATATTAGAAAAGAACTAAGTTAACTAACTAGTAAAAGATAATAATAAAATCTAAAGTTATATAAATACTACAAAAGTCTAAACTAAATAAATCTATAAAACAAATACAAAACTATTCTAGTAAGAATTATTTTTGAGATTAAAACTTTGTAAATTTATAATATATTAAGCAATATATATCTTGAAAAAATTTAAATTATACAATAAATAGATAAGTTAGCTAATTTAAATAGTTAGATATAGTAGTAAATATTAGATTAATATAAAAAATAAGTTAATAATTAGAATATTTAAATAGATAATTTATAAGTAAGTTATAGATATAGTAATATAGTATAGATCTAAATAGATAAACTATTTAAATTAAATAATAACTAAAGTTATATATATTATTTATTATATACTTATTATATAATTATAAATTTTAAAAGATTGAGTTCATTTAAAAACTCTTTCTACAGATTCTTCAAACTAATTTTAAAACAAAAGAAAAATATATAGAAAAGTTAAAACCTTATAAGAAAACCTAAGAAATTTTACTAAATAAAGATTTGCAAACAAAGAAATTATATATAACAATAAGAAAAAAATTTTTAGAGAAAAAAAAAGATAAAAAAATCCAAATTTCAAAAAATTTTCTCTATTATTAAAAATTTTTTAAGAAGAACAACAAAACTTTAAAAATTTTGCTATTTGTTATACCAAAACTAGATAGTGTAAATTATATAAATTAAAATTTCAAGTAATCAAAATAGTAATATATATAAACACAAGCAAGAAATTTAAACAAATATCATATAGTAAGTAAACAAATAGTAATAACAACAAAACAGTGAACAGATGCTAACTTCAAACTAAACAACTTCTGAAAATTTTCAATAAGAAATATATAGAATTTTAAATTTTTTATTTTTTTTTTTCCTTTGACAGTTATGTCATAAACTTTATTAAGTTGTTAACCATAGCTGTAGCCAAGTTATATATAATTATTAATCTATCTAATTTTCTAAGTCTGACATTACCTAGCTACTACTAGAGTACTCAGGTGTGACCTGTTATACTAATCTTAAGGTTAGAACAAATTGTCTAACTAATTCAAAGAAAACTCTACCACTTCTTTTTTCTTTTTTGGATCCCTTCTAAAACTATTTCATTTACTACTTCCTTAATCTAAACTTTTTTCTTTTCTCTTTCTTTTTTCCTTTCTAATAAAAGTTTTTTTTTTCTTCTTCTGTTAGAGTCTTTACTACCTGTTTTTTCCTTATTGAATTACTTCTTTTTTCTTTAGTTGTAATTCCTCTTATTTTTTTCTACAGTACCGAACAGTAAAAGATATCCAATCTATATATTAAGCACTAATTTTACAAAACAGTAAAAGACATCTAACTCTTATATAAAGCGCCAATTTCGCCAGGTAATAAAAGACATCTAACCTATTACAAAGCGCCAATTTTGTCGAGTAGAAAAGACATCTAATCTATTATAAAGTGCCAATTTCATCGGGTAGTGGAAGCTATCCAATCATATACATGCATATAATAAATTCAGATCTTTACTCGATCCATATTTTATGCAAACTAATTATTATAACGATAAGGGCTACTTTGATTTAATTTCAATCTCAAACACTAACGAATTAAAGATGTTGTCTGAAACTGGCTTTACTCAATTAGCCAAGTACTTTAAGATCAATATTATAGACGTGTATTTATAATTTAAAACTAAGATTGTATGTAACTCTAAAACAAGCTTTTTGAATAAACAATTTATATTTGATTTTTTTTTTGTCTATTGCAGCTAAATGATAAAATTATCAAGTTTTATTACTGTATGTTAGAGGCAAGTAAAGCTTGAAATTTTGATTTTTTATTCTGATCTATTTAATATTTTAAAAGTAAATTTACTCTAGACTAATAATAGTGAAGATAAGTATTACGCACTTCCTTTTTTTTTACTTTTACAATTTAATTTAACAATTCATCATTAACCCAGTTCATAATCTCCTCATTAACTGTTCTATGCTTCTTATTTTGCTTTATTGCATATTCAGTTACTTTTCCTGTTAACCCTTGCTGATAAGCATCCATTCACCTAAATGAAAGCCTAGCAAAGGAATGAACTCGCTCTATGGAAATAGAGTCGAATGCCTTAATAATTAACCTTTTTAGTTTTGGCAATGAATACTCACAATAAGATTGGGTGTACTTTTTGGCTACTCCCTAGTACATTTCGATGTAATTGAATTCAGGGTGGAACTTATGATAGAATATAATTTTATGTCCTTTAGACTCTATTTCTTTTTGAATTTGACCACGCTCTGCAAGGAAGTCAGGTTGGTGGGCCATTAATTGACGTACATAACAGTTAATATTATCGAGATCTGCTTCTTTTTTCTTGCACAAAGCACACTCTAACACTAGCCTGTCTTGCTATAATCCTCTTTCAGTGAGGACCCACTTGATTCCTTTAAATAGGGATGGTAAAAAAAAAAAAAATAAAAAATTTTAAATATTTTTGTTAATTTAAAACAGGTAGTGATTAGTGTTCAAAATTTAAGACTCAAATACCATTCTCATGAGAACAGTACAATGGCTATAGCTGTTCTCATAAACAAGCAAAAAAGAAAAAAACCCCCATGTTAGAAAAACATATAATAGTAAGAACTGGAACCGTTTAGCTATGTAAAATTGTTCTGTAATTCCAACATAAATTACATTGGTAATAGGTTAAAAATTATCTTAAATGCTGGCGATTAATATGGTTAAACAGTTAACCTATTAGAAAAGTTTTAGGAGGTTTTAATCTCTATATTGTAGATAAAAACACTTTTATTATTTTACTGTTCACAAAAAATTTTTAAGAGTACAGTAAATAATATGCACAAATTCACAACTATATTCTTATAGGAACTGAGAACACTAATTTCGAACACTGGTGATGATTGAAGTCTGAATAGTTAAATCTGAATTTAAGATATTAGATCATATTCACCGTCTGTTTTTAAGCATGCAATAAAAATATTTGTCATCCCTACCTTTAGGTTGACCACATAAATTAATATTTTTTTTTTTTTTTTATCATAGATAAAATAATCTTCTTCAATAATCATCGATTGATGATTATTGTTCCATATTGTATCTCTCATTTTTGGAGCAGAACCACCTGAACTAAGATTCATTTTAGAGGCGACAAGAGCGTCCTCAACAAAAGCCATGTGTGAAGTGACATTATTGAAGGCAAATAAACCTACACACCCTGAATGTGTTCGCTCAAAGATAAGTATTGCTTTTTTGATTTGTTCAAGAAGCTATGCAGAATCCCAAAATCTGTCTCAGTTGGCACCCAATACCATCATAACTCGTGCTTCTTCCTGATCATCTTTAAGAGGCTCTATTGTTTCTGTTAGAAAGTCACTTATATGCATACTAGGTCCCAATTCTTTTTTTCATAATGGTTGTTCTCCAACCAGGCCCAACACAGAATATGGTCCATCATAAGCATAGAAGGTACTTTCATTATGAGTTACCCATACATGCTCTTTTTCATCATCATTTAGCTGCGGAAAAGTTCTTATCCTACAATCTTGGTCAAGCCACTTAGATATAAGTTGATCAAGCTGCGCAATTTTCTCAAGAAAGATTTGATGATAAGCAACAACATCTGGTCGCTTATGTCTATTCACGTAGACACCTATAGATATAGTAAAATTTATTTTTAATTTTTTTTTTAATTTCAACAATAATTTCAATATTTTTAATATTTTTATAAATTAATACAGTCGACCCTCCATAAATGCATATCCTTTCTAAATGTACATTTTGCTTACAGTCCAAGGAGTGCATTTATGGAGGGTTAACTGTATCAAATAATTATTTTATTTAATTTAGATTAGTTTCAATTAATAAATTAATTTTTAATATTGAAAAATTAATTTTA